TGCAATTACTGATAATTAGTGCAACTTTGTCCGAAGCAACCAGCTGCTCATTGTCGTAAGCAGAAACTGAAAAGTTTGAGGCTCAATATGCTATAAATTTTGAATATGCGATAAACACAATGAAGCTTAGAGATGATGAGACATACAAATGATCTCACTAGTTAAAATTCACCTGGAATGATCGGAGCTTTCTCCTCAGTTGTGATATTCATGCTCGCCATTATTTCTCGTAAATTTTCTAGATTACCAGACCGACAGCCATCACATCCTGGATAAGATAGCATGAAATATTTTTATGACAGACTCTTTCACATTCAAGTTTCTAACCATGAAAAATCTTTTTTTTTATATTTGCTGTCCTACAATTATTTAGATAAATCGAAGCAGTATTACTCTCTTCAACATCTTGTTTTTCAGTAGTGTGTGGAGCGCTATAAAACGCTACAAACTCATACACGTGAGCAGAATAACATTTTAAAACATAGCTAAAAAGAAAGTGTGTCTTTCTATCCAAAATTACATTTTAGTTTCAAAGATTTTTCATTTAAAACACCTACTGTATTCTTCTCCGACAAAAGAAGCCAATGATACGGTTTGTGAGACGATACGGGAGGAGTACTCCTTTCCAGGTTTTCGGTAAAACTCCGAATATACATGACCATCCTCAATTTCATTCGTCACTACGCAAAAAAATGTAAAATCCGATGAGCATTTGCATCTGAAAACCAGTTGATATATCAGTTTAAAAGATACTCTGTGATTTTTTCTCGCGCCGGGAAGCTTGTATAAGATTCACTGCTTTATAATCTAGAATTTTATGATTAAACAAAATGGAAAAAACTGTTCATTACCTAAAGATTCGAGAATTTTGCGCTTCTGCTCAATCATAGCAGAACTACGAAGGAGCCATGGGAATCTATTCCATTTTTTCTATCATTCATTAAATATGGTAAATAGGTCCGAACCGAGTGCAGTTGCAGCGATCTTCGGTAATGTCCAGACACGAGTTTTTCACTTTCTTGACGCTTTTGTGCATGGACATAAGCTGCCAGCTCCACAATTACTTCAAAGATGCTTTTACGACCATATTTCTTGTGTTTGGACCAGTTCTGGGCCTCCCACAAAGATAGGATGCCATCAAGCTACTCATTAATTTGTTATCCTTTTGTATGAGTTGGTGACTGTTGAGATAACTTCATGAAATTAGGTAAAACCGTAATAGATTAGGATTTAAACAAGGCAACTC